GATATTCAAATGAAATTAAAATTCTCACATAATGGCAACAACCACACTTTATAATGCCATAAAAACTTTATCGCAATCTCAATCTTTCGTGTCTTTTTTTTAAATTTATTTTATCAGGGTGAACTTGGATAACCCTATATTATACTTACACACCACAACAACACCTTTATCGAAATCTTCTAGGTTATTCTGCTCTATAATATGGTAATATTATTTACATAACATGCTGATTTTCAAAGTTGTTTGGGTTTTTTTATGGAATGGATTTTAGTGCACGAGTGCCTTTTTCAGTTAAAAACGCATGAGTGCAAATTTGTCAAAAATTAAAAATGTATTTTTTCTACAACTGTCAAAAAATGATGATGTTTGCACATTGATGAAAATTTGCAAAGTGAAACTTTTTCCCAGGTAGATTTTATTTTAACGTTCCCATGACGCCGTGCGCGAAATGATTCCGCAGTGTGCGAAATGTCTAGTTCGCACACTCAGTACCTGACACCTGACAGGAAACCAGAAATAATTAAAATTCACCTGCCTTTGATTGTAAATGCAATTTAAGTTTCGAATGATCAATATTAAAATGGAGTTGTAGAAAAAATATTGTTTGCAACCCGTGCGCGAAATACTTTGGTGATCTCGACTATTTTTTTTACTCGCCTGCGCCTTATTAAAAAAAACAGTTCTCGTTCACCAAAGTAGTATTTCGCGCACTAGATACAAAAATAACAATTCATGGCACGCGTTGTATTTTATGAGAGAATTTCATGAATCAAAAATTTTTATTTTTTTTTCAAAAAAATGTCAAAACATCAGTTCTCGCACCACTAGTGCAAATTATCCAATCTGATTGGTTCAAATCAACAATCAAAACATGTCAGTTTATTGTTGGAATGTCAGTTTCGACCGAGGTTCTGATAGACATGAAATTATCTGTTTAATATTGACTTCCACCGAACTAATTATGGTATTTATTATTTTCCATATTTGTAGAATGTCTCAATTACCCAACAATATCATAAAAAATGTGGTATTGATAGTCTTGAGCATTTAGCCAAAAAAGTTAAAGAAGCTCTATGGTTGAACCAAATCCAAGCGGCAGTATATGACAAACTGTTCATTCTCATTACAACCTATCAAATGTCCTCCATGCCTGCGCACTGGCCCAGGTAGGGCGTTTCAACCAATAGGAAGGCTGGTGTTTGTTGACAATTTAGGTTATTTAATGTCATTCACTGCCGCTTGGATTTGGAAATGGTGTAGATGACTTAACCTGCTTAGGCTTGATTGTAAGAAAATTGTGTTGTGATTTTTCTTGAATTTTTTTGCTTGTGTGACGTGACGTATCTGCCGCTTAGGTATAACAACAATTCTGATTTATGAAATTCTGTGCAATGAAAATAAGCATAGTTTTTTCAGCGTCATGGGAAAGAAAACTATTGGATGACTAAAGCTCAGTGGCGGCTCGTAATAAAGGGCTCTGGGGCGCCGCCCGCCCTGCTGTAAATGAAAAATATAACATTTTTGTTTTTCTTGAAAACCCAAAAATACTCCATCTAGAAAACCATAATAAAACAATAATATGAAAATTGAAATTAATGAAATTCAAACATGCCGTTGTTCGGGCAAGTTATATCGAATGAGTGAGGCATTTCGTTATTTCTACGCTACGGGCAGCTTATGCCTACGGTACGCGGGCGCTGGAAAATCCGTCCCAGCTAGTGCTACAATTCACGTGGGTTGCCATGGCGACGAACCCGTGACGTCACCCAAACATCGCGCTAGACGGTGCATTTATCGGGCTCCAAATATTCCGCTCGAAGCCCCGAAATCAGGAAATTTTCGCGCTTTCGATGGCGACGGTTCCCGGCGTTTGTAACCGTTTGTTCAATATTATGTTTTTGATTTTGACTTCCGTTTTTCATTAGGAAGGTTTGTTCGATTAACTTGCTAATATGAAGATTAGTGAATTACAAAAACTCCGTGTTTAGCTGTACAAGTCTAAATTACACTTGAAAAATACTGGACGACCATTGCCAATATTCAACATTGTGCAAGTACAATCAGACAGAATGTCTAATTTCTATAATGTTTAGTAACTTTTTTAGTTACAAATATGTATAAATCTATGCCAGCAATTCAATGACGTCAAAAACTGTCTACCTAGTACCAATCTTGCCCCTAAGATTTTCACTTGAGAATTTATATTTAATTTTGAGTCTGACTTTATGTGGACAAATAATTAAACATTTTTCTCTGAGCCACCCCTGACATGCTTGTCACGAGCCGCCACTGCTAAAGCTGAAAATCATGAATCCGATTTTTTTTTAATTGACAAAAATTAATCGGAAAAGCAATATTTATTTTTATTTTGTTCAGTAAGTTTTTCTCCTATCGCTAAAAATAATAATAGTGGTATGTCTTAAATTTTTGCATGTCAAACTAAAAGGAGCACTCTCCTACTTTTAATTTTCATTGTACATAAAATATTATATTTTCGAGAATGTAATCGCATTTCTTTCAGGTACCAAATAGATTTTTTTTGCAAATTAATAGTATTGAGAAATAACGATCATCAAAAGTCTTATTTTTTTTTAAACAAAAGTTTCGTGATCTGACAGTAGACGTCAACGGAGAAATTGATTGGTCGATAGGGGGCGTGTAGAATTCGTATCATTAAGGCTCGAAGAGAAACTCACTTTATCAAGAAAATTGGTACGTAACCTTAAGCCAAACTGAATGTGTGGAATCAAAGTTTAAATTATTTTCTGAAATCTTTATAATTTCTCTTCACGAACTAAATTTCTCCCTCAGAAAGGTACGATTTGAGGATAAAAGGATTCAACAGAAAATTGGACATCTTTTGGAATAAAAACTTCCTGCAGCACTAAATCTATGAGAATTACCTACTGCGTCAATGCTTCAGTGACAACATTGAATTACGTAACCTGTAACATTGCAAATGTTACTTGTTCTTCTATCTTAATAATTTTACATTTTATAATTTTATATTATTATTTATGACCTTAGTTAACCCACCCCACTCTACGCTGTGAGAGTTAGTCGAAACCCTAAAAACTAAAAACAAAGCTCGAATTGCTCGATATTGCCGATATTGGTCATTGGAGTACTCGGCCACCTTTCTGTGTATTAATAAATTATTTTGCCCATTTGGCAAGGTAATAAAGTCCTATTTACAAAAATTTGAAAAAATATATTTGCCTAATAATAGAAGATTTCATTATAACAGACTTTGACAGAAAGTCGACAAACAAAAGGCATTTTTTAGCGAGTTCCCGTTAGTTCCCGTGTTACAAGCGGTTACAGGAAATCAATAACCGATCCGTTTTTGCGAGAAAACGGTAATAGGGGAAGGTGTTTTGCTGTCATAAAGTAACGTCATCATTCTATAACACGGTTATTGTTTTTGATACCCAAGTCGAGAGTTGAGTAACTGAAAAATTCTAACCTCAGATTCATTTGTGATTGTTTTGATCTGTAAAAGTGAGTTTTTTTTGAGGTTTTTTTGTTTTTGGAGCATATCAAAAAATGGCAGATCTCGCATTATGGTCTATAAGCTGTCTCTCATGATTTTCTCGCAATATATATTTCAAGGGACCACTATGCTTGACTCGATAAGACTTGGAAATTAGAATATACAGGATGTTTTCAAACATAATATCGTCAATTAGTAATAAGGACTTAATTATTGACTCCATTTCTTTTATGTTTACCACAAAATATGAACTAACCTCACCTTACTGTAAAATTTTGATAACCGTTCCGTTTTAGCGAGAAGCGGTTTAATCCTAGAAATCTGCCAATGGTAGGGATATATTTTTGAAGTGGGAATGTTACCGTGTATAACCGCACGGGTTATAAACGGTTATTACTGGGATCTCGCTAAAAAATGCCTAAAGTCACATAATCTATAAACAGCAACGTCAATGTTAATATTTTTTTCAATTTTGGGCCTAAATTTAATAACTATGGCAGTTGTTGGAGAGCTCAGACAAGAGAGTTTTTCAACAAGAGACAAGAGAGCTCTCCAACAACTGCCCTAGTTATTAAATTTAGGCCCAAAATTGAAAAAAATAATAGGGCAATCCAAACAAAATGGCGGCCAATGCCAAAAAATTGGCGCCATAGATTTAATTCAAACAACCATGATATTTTTCATCAAAAACCTGTTTTTTGTGTATTTTGTGGTGTTTTAAGATGATTTTCTAGTGCTTGGACGGATAATTGTCGTATTTTAAGATGGAGAGTTTTTAGTTTAAGAAATTATTAGTGGAAAACCCGGATGTTTGCAAAAGTTATGATTTCTTTGTGACAAACCTTTACCTACTAAACAATTACGTATGTACTATCCAGGATTTGTTTCCTGTTTAGTTTTTCTCAACAAAATCTTGAATCCTGATGTATATTTTATATTTTATTTGTCTGCTATATTCAAGGTATCGACACAAGTTGATGTGGAGGATAGTAAATGGCTTGGATGCATACACCGTTTATGTAGAGAGGCTTTTTGGTTTTTTAATATGGATTTCGTCATATTTTTTCTCTTTAACTTCAATCCATGAAGCCCTTACAAAATACAGACAAATCGTTTTTCTCCATTAAAAAACTGTTTTGTCTCTGTAGGAACGGCATGAAACGAGACTTTCTCCCTATTAGAACGGCTTCCACAACTAAGTACAATACATAACGTATGCACTTTCCAAAAAATCAACACTTTACAGACTTTATACAAATCAAAAATCGCAATAAAACGGCATTTTTTTAAAATAAAAAGGCATTGACCTCCATTTTGAATTTCGTTTTGACAGGTCGTTGGATTGCCCTATAACATTGACGTTGCTATTTATAGGTTAGATTACTTTGTTTGTCGACTTTCTGTCAAAGTCAGTCATAATGAAATCTTCTATTGATTGAAGAAAACGAAATTTTCAAATTTCAATTTGTTTCAGGTTAGTTTAAATTGTTTATTTTAGACTCCATCAATAAAACTGAAATCTTTAAAAATATTTGAAAAATGCAAAATTATGTAAAAGTCAGGAAAACCTGCAGGTGAAAAAACAGCAACGTCAAAATGCTGTTAGTTTTCCTCGTTCTCCTCAACCTCAGAACCCTACAAGCCCGAGCCGGGGCACAGCGCTGCGCCGACGGCATCGTCCTGATCGACATGAAACTACCCGAATCAAAATGGGTAAAAATCTGCGCCGGCACTTTGATCAGACCCACTTGGATTTTAACAGCGGCCGGTTGTCTGGAAAATACGATGTTCAACACGAGCTCCGTCTACAATGTCGACAAGCGACCTGTGAAACGAATCGTCCTCCATCCAGAATACGATTCGGAAAAATACGAAGGTAACGACGTCGCTCTGATGGAACTAGAGAAGCCTATTGGCAATGGAATCGTTTTTTTACCAAAAGCCCAAGAAAATATTTTGGAGCCGATGTGCCAAAAATCTTTAATTTTCGGTTGGAATGAAAATAATGAAAAGTGCGGCATGTCTTCAGTAGTGCCTCGTGATCAATGCAAACTTCAAGTGGAATTGTTTCCTGGACAATTTTGTCTGAATTCGGCAATCGAAGAAGCGCCTCTGATAGAAGCGGGAGGGCCAGTTTTGTGCGGTTCGGTGCAAGTCGGCGTGATCACTTCCAAGTGGATGTTGAAGGCTAATTTGCCCATCGTTTATACTGATTTACGGTCCAGTGTGGGTCTTATCGAAAAGACTATAGAGGGAGTGGAAGAACGTCGACAAAAAGTTGGCAATTATGGAGAAGCTTCTCGAAAAATTCAATTTGAAAATGTTTTATTTGCATTTGTAATCTTTTTGGCTCAATTATTGTGATTCCGTTGATACATTTTATGTTTTTTTTTTCTCTAAAATTAAAAAAGATTTTCATAAGTATGAACGCCGCATACAAAAACCAATTCATTTTTCAGTTATCTAAAATTACCTATATCCTCGATTTCTTCACAATTCTAACGGTTACGATGGCCATCTCAAAAGGAAGGGGATCGGCAAGGAAGGCGAACTCTGCCTACTAACCATAATGATAATATGCTCAGAATATGACTATAATAACGAATACGCTTTTTCGACAAAAGAATAAATTCAAGACTTCCTAAAAGCGTTTAAGGACTATTTACACACATCAATCAGGCGCTAGCTATTACGTCCCAAATCACATAACGTCACTTTCGACAGGGGGACAAATATGTCATTGGGACAAACAAACGATATTTATATTTATTTGCGTACACTCAAGATGCTGTCAAGAGGCACGTAAACCCTTTGTTTGCTTGTCAAAGTCACGTGTTTTGGATAGGCTAATTAGGCTCTCCAAACCACGTGATTTTTCAATATGGCGACCGTGGAAAATTTGACGTTTGTTTGTTTATCTTGAGTTTATTTGGAATATTTTCAAGCTTATTACAGTTTACTTTGTTATAATATACTTTTTGAGATGCAGAGTGAATATTTAAAGACTTGAATGCAGGAAAATCGGGATCTGGGCGAACGGTTAGTTTAAAAAAATGTCCAGATGACATTTTGATCCACAGTTCACATCAATGAGCAAATGAAGGCCTACAAAAGCTTAGATTCTTACGAATATTTCGAAAATGGCTTTATTTCCGATGCAGGAACAGTAGTAGTGAAAAATTTTCACGTTTTAATTGGAAAATTTTAAAACAAAGGGCAATGAAAAAAGCCTGACATCATCCATGTTACCTTGTTGAAACTACTTCCACAATCAACTTCAAGACCCGTTTGTGGCATTTTTAATTGGAAGAAACACTAATGAAGTCAATAAAATGAAAAGATAAACAGAGTTCATTCACAAAACAACCACAAAATGCACATTAAAAAGCTTTAAATTACATACTCTCATATACGGGATAATGAACTTCCGCCACAACGCACTTTTTGACAGGTCGTTGGAATGCCTAATTAGGCACTAGCTGACGTCACATACATAACCTCACTTCCGTTGTGGGGACAAACAAAGCGTTTGATAGCTTGTCACCAATGACATAACGTGACTTTCGATAGGGGGACGAACATCTCATTGAGGTTATGGCACATTTATTATGGAAAAGTGATCTATGTGGAATTTTGCTGAATTTTTGATATTGTGTATAGGGAGTTGTCCTTAATAAAAGTTATCATTGCGCTTATGTTTAATACCGAACAGTTTTTAAGATATCAATTAAAAACTTTCCCAATATTCAGTATGACGTCACCAGTATGCTCACAGCACCGAAAATTATCACTATCCTTTCCACTTTGCTGTGACTATACTCTTCTTCTTTTAACATTAGAAAAAAAAAACAACAACAGGTACAAATGAAATCGCTATATGACTGACATGACATGACGTTGACAAATGCGGAAGGAGCTAGGTAACCTTGGAGCTAGGTGTTGTTTACTCAGGATATTACACTTGTTTACCTACTTATTTGTCACTAATCGCTATCGCTATCTTTTTTTATTTCTTAATGTTAAAAGGAGGTGAGTGTGAGTATAGTCAAAGTCTAAAGTGAAAAGAATAGTAACAATTTTCGGTGCTGTGAGCATACTGGTGACGTCATACTGAAGAGTATAACATTAAAAAAAGTTTTTAATTGATATCTTAAAAACCGTTCGGTATTAAACATAAGCGCAATGATAACTTTTGTTAAGAACCACTCCCTATACACAATATCAAAAATTGAGCAAAATTCCACATAGATCACTTTTCCATAAGAAATGTGCGGGGTCCTTTAACATAGAATGCCTTCAAGACGATCATATCAGGACAAACTTCCAAGCCTCTCTAAGCCAGAAACTTCCGTTAGAGTACCTGGAAAGCATTGAGGAGCACCGGAAAATATTGAAGACCGCAATAGCATCCGCCTCGGAAAAACGGTCGCCTACATACAAAAGAAACATCAAGACTGGTTTGATGAGAACGACACTGAACTTCAAGACCTCAAGACAAGAAGAAAAAGAGCGCATGAAAAAGCGACCCCTATCTTACCTGTAAAAATTAAAACCCTCAACAGAAACCTGAGCAGTTGGAGCATCAGCACTGAGCAGGGTCTGAGAGATTCGCTAAATATTTAGCCCTAAACCAGAACAAATGTTACGAATGTGATATACACTCGAAAGAAGCGATGGAATATTGACATGACCAATGTGAAAATTACCCATAGATCTTGTTATAGCCATTGCTTCAGATAAGTACAAATCAATACATTATAACACTAACACAAAGAAAATGACCTATCTTTAAATATTATAGTTGCTCTAGAAACTCTTCACTTTTGATAATGACACAGCGATCGCCCTCATTTTTCCGCGCTAGGATTGTACTATTTCCATGCCATAGAAACTTGTAGGTTTTGCTTCTGAGCCGCTGCTTAGCTTTTTGAACCAATTCATAGGTTCCCTTGTAAGCTCTTCCTCGATGAAGATGCAATGCGCAGAGTCACCTAGTCCAGAGTTCAAAAGTGAGATTTTCCCTTCTCTTCTGTGATCCCAAGGCAGACTTGAGCCTATTAACTTCATTTCGTAAGTCCTGGTTTTCCTTAGATAACTCATAAACGATATCCGACAATACTTTTGCCAGCTCGTGGTATGTCGGGGCGCATGGAAAGTGTGTCACACTGACGAAGTGTGTCTGTCATATATGTCAGATCATTTGACCAATTTTTCGACAGACTGCATTGAAAATGGATATATTTATATGGTCAAATTTTCCGACTCCATAAGCATATCGCAGACAGGCATTCTGTATCTTTTGCAAGCTAGGCCTATCCCGTTGGGTCAAGGAAGGCCAGTACACTACATAACAGTAACCCAGATGAGACAGCAACAAGGAATCGCACAATATCAACATCGAGTCAGTGTTTAAACTATCCCTTTGCATATATAGAAGCTTCAGTTTACCGATTCTTTTGAACTAGGCTGGAAACATGAGCGGAAAATCTCAGGTTAGTGTCGATAGAATGACCCAGATTCTTGCACGTAGTCAAAGGCCTTAAAACAACATCATTAATAGACCTATCTACCACGATTAGAAAAAGGAAGCTTTATTGTAATAAATACAAGTTAGAAAACAATAAAAGATGACATGCGCGCGCAACTCGTAGGCTGCAGTGTAGCCAGATTGTATTGTTGCAGAATAAATGTAGACAATACAAATCGAACATTATAACATTAAAGAAGTAATATAGTCTCGAGTGTTTCACAACGCCTTAAATCAGACAAAAGAAGAGCTTTAAAGTGGATAAACATCGTTTGCACTTTTATTTTGATAAATGTTTCATCCGGCAACATCGCTCAATGAAATTGCAAAGGAATATGTCAAGTATAATCTAACATAACACTAAACGGAACTGCGGTGAGCTCAAGTTATATGTAAAGTATTAGTTTGCTCTTTGTCAAATTACACGTATATATAATACCACAGTAATTTTCATTAAATGCGGTTGTTAAAATTACCAAAAGGTATCAAGGACCAATTTGTATTGGTATATACCTAGTATGTATAAAAGACATCCCAATAAATTCAAGATTCACCAATTAATGTTTGACCACCTTACTCCAATGAGAGTAAAAGAGAACAATTGATGAAGTAAAAGATTAATAATATTAATGAGAACCTGTGCACGCTTATACCATGGTATACCGGGGCGGGTTTGTACAGAAATGTCACCCTAAATATAGTTAATTGATAATCATTGGTACAGTATACCCATTTTAATAATGAAGGCGGTATAACAAACTTGGAAATGTATCAAGTTAAATATAAGAAATGCTATCAATAATAATAAAAAAGAATAATTAAGAAACGTTAGTAAATCAACGAGTACATCACCCCCTTGTGGTCCTCCCTGCAGTCTAAAACATCCATTTACATAACTGTCTCATGACAACCTCACAGCCCTGATAACAGACCCCATCAACCTCTTTTGACTCTGCTTCTTAAATAGGGTAAATTACGTTTTCAGATTCAGTGTTGTGACTCTGACACCTCACCTTCGAAACGTTAGCAAAACGTTGAAAGAGAAAAACCAAATGGAAAGGTAAGACCTAAAAACCCTGAAAGAGTACAAATTCTTAGAACCCCTTCAGATTATTTATAAAATCAAAATCCCAACCCTCAAATGGTACATAAATGAAATGATTGAAATTAAAGTAGCAAACTTCCCTGAAACTTGTAAGTTTTCTTTAAAAAAACAGTCCCCTTAACTAATAAGGCCATTAATTTCCTTTTTGAAAGTGACTAGTGAGTTTTTCCACTGACAAATTGCCCCTCGTGGAGGTCAAATTCCCTTTTTTTTTTGTCTCCCAAATATCTACAAAAATACTGATATGCTAAACTAAATATTGATAACAAAAAGGTAAATTCAGATTGATAAAAACGTTTAAATTTACTTGGTTACGATTCGGGCTTCTAGTAGAAAAAAACGTGCTCGCTTCTCGCACCGACAATTCAACAAAATGGCGTAGATTTTCGTCTCCAGAAAATTCTGAGTGGTTGGCTTACAAATACTGGGACTTACGACCAAATCCAAGTTTCCACCCTAAAACCAATTAAGCCAGCTACCACTTGAGTTCCCAACGCCTCTTAAATCCCACAAAAGGTGAATGTTCCAAGGAACGCAGCAAAGAGTAAAATCTGCCAACCACTTTTTGCTTGCTCAACTTGCGAATTTTAAGAGTACGACCCTGTTTCTGGTAACTCACCAGGTGAGCTCCTATAAGAAATTTCCCAGAATTCTAGGTGTTCCAAGATGCCCTCTGGGGCCAGATTTCCGATCTTGACCAGGAAAACGAGACAATCAACTTGAAACGAACAACCCAAACCACATTGATGACAAACAAAACTCAAAGCTGTTATCCAATTTTCTTCCCTTACACTAATTAATTAAT